GGCATATCAGCAGGGTTCTGGGCAGCAGGGAGGAATTTGTCATGTCCCTCATGGTCACCCACAAGTGTCAACAGCAGCTTCTGCAGCTCCAGTAGATTCACCTGAATGGAGGGGTCCTCAGCTGCCACTCTGGATCCAGCGCCAGTGCCCATGCCGACCCCCATCCCTGCAAAGATGTTGCATGCCCTACCTTCATCTCCTCCTCGTTCTGGTCCAGTCTGATGATATCCTCTATCTCCTGGTGCCGCGTGTTTGGCACTGCCCCTTCGCTCCCAGATACGGTGATGTGCTCTCCTGCAAGAGGACAGGGCTCAGACGCTGGGGCCCCTCCAACGGCCCTGCAGCTCCCCGTGCCCATGCTGTGGCCTCCCGCTCACTCATGCCGTCTGTTGCTCCAGAGAGCTGGATGAATCCAAGCTCTAGGTTCTCCACCTGCTCCTTCCTGTCCACCTTCTCCTTTTGGAGGTCCATAAAGCCACTCTGGAGCCAAAATAATCTGGTCATATCTCAGGAGTGACCTCTCCTGCCCTGCCCCCACTTTTCTTGGCCCATGCCAGGACTCACTCACCTTCACCTTCTCCATGGCCTCCCTCAGGGCCCGGTAGCTCTCCCCACACACAAACTCACCCCCAGTCCCTGGGGCTGGGGCCTCTCCTCTGGCTCCTTCCAGGCCGAGGCCACCAGGTGAGCCAGGTGCAGGCAGCACAGCCTTCGCACCTTCTGCTGTCCACATAGCCGTGCCTGCTCCTCCTGGAAACTGGCTCCAGTGGAGTTGAAAAATGCCACATGAACGCAAGAGCTGAGTATTCTTGTAGGGCATACACAGAACAAATGGGGCAGGGAGGTGGAGCACAGCCCTTCCCTTGGGGCCTCAGAGAGTGCACCTGTTGGTCACAGGTGAAACGGTGTCTGTCCACTGGCTCCCGGAAGGGGTGAAGGTCCAGAGAAATCAGAAGGTGGGGAAACCAAGAGCATAAGGGGGTCTGGGAGGGACCACGGAGGAAGGTGGCAAAGTGGGGCAGGGACAGTCAGATTCACCGTGGCTGCCTTGCTCTCCAGGTCCTCTGGGATGCTCGGCATAGACTGAGGCACCCCCTCCTCCTCACTGTCTAGATGTCCTCCTTCATCTCCTGTGGGGAGGTGGCCAGAGGGGTCCTCAGACAACCCAACAAGGGAGGCACTGTGGGCCCACCTCTGTCCCCACCCTCACTGTGTTACCCTGAGCCAGCCCCCCCCCCAGAGGGGAATGAGCTGCTGTTCTTTATTTTTCCTTTTAAGAACCAAGATCTTGCTATATTGCCCAGGCACAGTCACACTACCGGTCGGTGCGGGAGTTCTGACCTGCTCCCTTTCTGATCTGGGCCAGTTCACTCATCCTTAGGCAACCCGGTGGCCCCCTGCTCCCAGTAGGTCACCAGATTGATGCCGAACTTAGTGTAGACACCCGGTTGGCAAAATGACCAGATGTTCTAAAGGTCTCTTCCAGGTCCTTGATCCTATGCTGCTGACAGTTCCCCCTTCCTCCTGGGGCTCTCTCCTCTTCCCCTGAGTGGTCTCCTGTACCTTGTCCAGGGAGAGCCATGAGGCTCAACTGGGTCTCTAGCTGTTGGTTCCACTGGCTGGCAGCTTCTAGGTGCTCCTAACGGGACGGGAAACAGAGTGAGAAGGCACAGAGGTTGCCAGGTCGTCCCCTTCGGGGGCGCTGTCCTCAGCAACTCACTCCCCTGGGTCTCCTGCAACTTTTGGCAGGCCATCTCAGCCACCGCTTTGCCCCGAGTTTCCTGCTGCTGCAGTTGGTCCATGAGCTGGGTCTGCAGTGGTAACTGCCTGTGCAGCGCCTCCTTCTCGGAGGTCAGCTGCTGATAGGTGGCCACGTACTGCTGCGGGTGACCCAGGTACTAGTCTCACTGCTGCGCAGACTCTGAGATTCTTGGCTCTTCAGCTCCACCTGCAGGAAGAACCTGGGCAGGAGAGCACGTGGTGGCTGGCTTCCAGATTCTGGGCCCATTAATAGGGTAGTGAGGGCACTGTGGGGGCTCTGTCACCTGCCCAGGCCCCTGGCCTCTTGCTCCAGGCCTTAGAGACTTGCCTAGAACCCCATGCCTCCTTCCCCAGCCTCAAATCTCATGTCTTCTTCCCACCATTTAAACTGTAGGCCACAGACTGGTGGAAAAGCAGAGGGAGCCAATCACCATCTGCTAAGTGTGCTCCATGCCTAATGCTTTCCATGTGTTCTCTCATTTAATCCTCAGCACCTCTGCAAGGAAAATGCTAACTTCCTTTTGAAGCTAAAGAAACAGAGACTTAGAGATGAAAAGTAGCCCAATGGTGACCAGTGGGACTGAGGCCAGAATCCAGTTTGAATCTAAGGAGGCTTTTTTGTTTTGTTTTGAGACAGAGCGTCACTCTGTGGCCCAGGCTGGAGTGCAGTGGTGCAATCTCAGCTCACTGCAACCTCCACCTCCCGGGCTCAAGTGATTCTCATGCCTCAGCCTCCTGAATAGCTGGGATTACAGGCATGTGCCACCATCCCTGGCTAATTTTTTGTCGTTGTAATTTTAGTAGAGATGAGGTTTTGCCATGTTGGCCAGGCTGGTCTCAAACTCCTGACTTCAAGTGATTCTCCTGCCTCAGCCTCCCAAAGTACTGGGATTACAGGGATGAGCCACCATGCCCAGCATAAGAAGCCTCTTATACCACTGTCTCTTCCCCTGTGATTGGGGAAATCCATGCCTCTAGCTGGGATGATGATATCCAGACCTGGGGGGAGCCCAGGGCTCCCCACCTCTAAAAGTCAGAGGGCAGAAAGCAACAAACAGACACAGGGCTGCCCTGGAGCGTGCTAAGGTCACTTGCCCAGCAGTTGGAGCTGCCTTTGGCCTGGCACCTCGCCTCCCCAGAGGCTGGTACCTGTCTCCCAGCCCTTCTTGGATGGGGCAGAGCTTACCATCTCCTTCACCTTGCTCAGCTTCTCCTGCAGCTCCTTTACTTGCTACTCCAACTGCAGTGCGCTTTTGTTCTCATGTTCTGTACAGAAAGAAACAATCAGTGGCCATCCACTGCAGCTGGAGACCCCAGAACTTGGTATCTCCCTCCCACGTCACTCAGAAGGGTGGAGGCAGGTTAGAAAAATCATCCCCTCTCCCCCACAGCCATCAGAGCAGGGCCTGATGAGCTCTGGCTCACAGGTGCCTTTAGAAGTACCATGTCATGTGAGGGCTACACTGCCCCATTTTACTGGTGGGGAAACAAAGGCCTGGAGGGCTGGGGATGAGGGCAGCCTCCCCAGGTGGGGCAACCCACCAGATCTTTGAAGCCGCACTGTGGCTCGGCCAGCTGCTTGTCGAGCTTGTGGTTCTGGGAGAGTGTCTGTCTCTCCTCCTGCTTTTGCAGCCTCTCCTCCTGCTCCCGAAGCCTCTCCTTTTGCTCCTTGCTCAGGAGATTCAAGGCCTGGTTGTTTTCCACCTGGGATTGGAGTTTTCCCACCAAACTCTCCACCTCCTTCCTCAGGTGTTTGGCCTCATCTTGTAGCTGCTCCACCTCAGAGGGCCCTGCTGGGGGCGCTGGGGATGGGGGCTCAGCTGAGAAAGGAAGCAGACAATAAGAGCCTCTGGATTCCCCAATCCCCGCCTCTCAAACAAACCAACCCTACTCTCGACGCACAGCTCCTCTCAGGCTTCCCAAACTTGGCCTCACTGCTAATGATTCCTCGCACCCAATGGAAGCCAATTTCCCAGCCATGTCAGATAGAGAGCACTGTGGGTGGCTGACAACGGGCACTCCTCCCTCTTTGCTGATGGGAACCCTGAGGCTCATGGAGATGACAAGACTTGCTGACTCCTGGCACAGACCTCTTTTCCACTGCCTCAAATTCCTTCCATCCACCCACCTGCCTGGGACATTCTAAGCCACCCCACAGCCCTCTGATGCCAGTCCTGCTGCCAGGTCACACCAGCCCCATCTTACCCATCTGGGGTTTGATTTCGGACAAGCTCCTCTCCAGCTCCTGTATCCGATGTATGTCACGCTTCTTCTCCTCCATCAATGTGTGAGCCTGCCCAAAGCACAGGGGGAAAGGGTCCTGGAGAGAGGGGCTGGTGGCTGGACAGGCTAGCATCTCCCTCTCTGCCTGCACCTCCACAAAGCCCAGACCCATGACCACCTCTAGCTATACTCTTCCCATTTTACAGATGCCCAGAAAGATCCAGTGACCTATCTAAGGTGGGGGCTGAAGGGTCAGGTCTCACCTCCATCGACATTTTCCGCATCCTCTCCTGCCACCGGGCCCTCTCTCCTTTTATATGTTGAGCATATTCATCTCTCTCTAGCTGGACTTGTTTAAGTGACTCTGTCACCTGCAAGAATGGCCACAGAAGTGAGGAAGGGCTGTCACTGGTCCTCACCTGCTCCTGGCCACCTGGGGTCATCTTCCTTCCACATCCCTCCCTCTGCAAAG